GGCTCTTTGCCCTTCCACCTGTTTCCCCAGAAAGACAGGATCCTGGTCCCTGCTACGTTCCTGGGGCCATGGCAGGCCTGGGCCCCGGCGGAGGCGATTCAGAGGGGGGACCCCGGCCCCTGTTTTGCAGAAAGGGGGCTTTGAGGCAGAAGGTGGTCCACGAAGTCAAGAGTCACAAGTTCACCGCTCGCTTCTTCAAGCAGCCAACCTTCTGCAGCCACTGCACTGACTTCATATGGTGAGGGAAGGGGGCTGGGGACGAGGGGACTAGGGCTAAAGACCCCTGGCACCATATCCCTGAATGATGAGGAAAGAGGGGGCTTTGGCCCTAGGGTCAGAGGGGGCTGGGGGCCTGAACTCTTGGGTCAGAGGGAGGAGGGGCTGCTGTCCTGGACTTCTGGGTTTGAAAGAAGGGGCTGGGGGCCTGGAGTCCTGGGTCTGAGAGAGGAGGCTCTGGGAGCTAGAATTTCTGGGTTCTGTGAAAAAGAGGCACCTGGGGCTCAGACTCCTGGGTCTTGCAGGAGGAGGATGGGAGGATGCAGGCCTCCTATGATGGGCAAAGGTGAGGGGGCCAGGTACCCTTTTCTGCACTGACCTCAGATCCTTGACTCTTACAGGGGGATTGGAAAACAGGGCCTACAATGTCAAGGTAAGAGCTGGGGACCTGGACTCCTGGGACCCTCAGGAGGGTGGAGGCTGGGGCCGCACAGCCTAAGCTGCTGAACACACGTGTTCTCTGGTCCCCAGAGAGGCGCGGGGGAGCCCGGGGTGGGGGGTGTGGCAGAGACACAGCCCGCAGTGGGGAGGGAGCTCTGACGGCGGGGCCACAGCGGAGGTGGTGCTGGGGGCCCCTCCCTCGGCCAGCTCCAGGTGGGGACAGATATTTGGAGAATCTGTTACCATGGAAACAGGGAGATTTGGAAAAGGGGAGCTGAAGGGAGGGGGCCGGAGATGCAAAGTCAGAGCCCCCCCCAGACTGCCGTTTCCATGACAACACCAATCGTCCTAGGCAGGGGCAGGGCGGGTGGGGTCACCAATGGGCGAGTGGGGACCGGGTGGGGCCGGCAGTTATGGGGGCCGGGAGAGGGGGACGAGTCCTAAAACACCAGCTGCTACTGCTGACAACAGTGAGTCAGGAAGCGGGGCGGGCTGACAGCAGCGCCCCCAGACTCACTTCTGCCCAAGTTGATGCTCTCTGTTCTGCCGAAGGACATCTCTCTCTGTTTTCTCTCTTCTAGTCTACCTGCCTATCTCCTTGCTTTCTTATCTCTGTCTGTGGGTCTGGGTCTGTCTCTGCCTGTCTCTGTCTCTCTCCCTGTCTCTCTTTGGCTGGGTGTATGCACTGGGCTCTCTATGCTCTGTTTCTGTGATTCTCTGCATCTCTTCTTCTTTCTTTGGGTCCACCTTTTGAATTTCTGTCTCCAGTGCCTCTGCCTCTGTCTCTTTCTCTGTCTGTCTCTCTCTCTTTCTGCATGTCCAGGTCTCTCCTTTGATTTTTCCCTGTATTGAACCCTCTCTGTCTATCAGGATTTCTCTCTCTCTCTCTCTGGTTTTCTTTCTGTTGGGGGTTCTCTCCTTCTGTCTCTTTTTGATTTTCTGTCCATTGGATCCTCTCTCTGCCTCTGTGTCTCTATGACTCTCACCTTCAGTCTGCAGCTTTGTGGTTCATCGACGATGCCACGAATTTGTGACCTTCGAGTGTCCAGGCGCTGGGAAAGGCCCCCAGACAGACGTGAGTGCCCGGACACCTGGTTCTTCCTCCTCAGGCCGCGCCCCCGCCCTCACCCCCTCGGCGTCCGTCCCAATTTCTCCTGCTATTTTTAAGGCTGGGAGGGGAGGGGGGCTGGAGAGATATGGAGAGCTAGTCTGGCCCAGATTCCCTGCCCTTGGCCTGGAAAGGGGGAATGAGAGGGGACTGAGACAGGCTGGGGACCCAAGTAGGGGACCAAGGAGGCAGGGGTAAGGGGACTTTGGCACTGGAGGAGTGGGCTCTGATCCAGAAGTCAAGAGATTTTAAAAAATAGAGCTGAGGGAGAGAGAGAGAAATTGATGCAGGTACCAAGATCCTGACAGAGAGAGAATCTCAGGGATGCAGAAAAAGATAGACGTCCAGACGGAGAGACTGAGGCAGAGTGACAGGAATGGAACAGAGACAGTGACACAGGAGAAAGGAAAAGAGGACCCAGAGAGACTGAGAGAGTCAGAGGTGCAGATACCTGGAAAGAGAAACTGGAATAGAAAATGGAAGATATGCAGAACTGCTTAGGACGTGCTGAGGCATTAGCGTGAGAGATCCTATAGTACGTATGCACACACATGTGCCTATACAGACCCCTCCTGTGCACACACACATATACGCATGTATGGACAACCCTGTGCACACACACACACACACATGATGTACAGATTCCCCGTGTGCACACACATGTGTATACACAATTCCCCCATGTGCATATGCATATGCAGACCACCCCGTGTGCACACACGTTCATGTGCAGATCACCTGCATGCACACATATATGTGCATATACAAATCCCCTATGTGCACACACGTGTGTACAGATTCCTGTGTGCACACACATGTGCATATACAATTCCATGTGCACACGCATATGTGCATGTACAGTTCCCCCATGTGCACACATACAGATACACACAACCTCTCTCTCCTTCCTCCCCCCACAACATCAGGGCCTACAAGAACTGTCAACTCTCCTTGCCCATTCCTGATCCCTCCTTCACTTTCTGTCTGGCCATGGGGCTCCTCTCCCTAAACTTCAGTTTCCCCGTCTATAAAATGGGGCTGACCATCTAGTGTTGACCAGTAGAACTTTCCACAATGATGGAAGCATTCTGTATCTTCACTGTCCAGCTACCAGCCTCCATAGCTAGCTGCTGAGGGATGGAAATCCAAATTCGATTTAATGTGAATTGATTTCAGTTTAAATTGCCACCTATGGTCAGGGCTACCGTATGGGGTGACATCACTCTAGATGCCCCCAGGCTTGTTTTGACAGTTCAGTGAAGTCAGGCAGGTTAAGAGTCTAGCCCAGGGTGTGACACAGGGTTGAAGATGGTTTTAATGATTAGCAGATGGAGAAGGAGGCAGAATGACAAAGAGGGAGGGAGGGAGATGGCCACAGAAGTCCATGGGGCCTTTTGCCAGCTTGTCAGATCAAGAAAACTGAAGTTTACATAGAGGATGTGACTTCAGAGAACGTATATTGAGCACCATTGTCTGCCAGCACCTGTATCTGTTATGACTGGCTCTCTTGCTGCCCGCCTCCAGCACCAGCACTACATCTGACTTTTCCAATGCTCCTTGCGTGCACTCATCAGGTATCTTGTATCCAGTATGGGACTGAGTCCGCGCAACAGCTTATAAGGTTAGGTTTCGTCGCCGTCTTCACCGGACAGAGGTCCTGAGCCAGGGCACCTGGGCTTGACTCCCACCTCCATCATGTGCGGGCTCTGTGACCTTTTGGAAGGTCATAGTTTACCTCTCCGCACCTCTGGAGTTCCTCATCTGTAAAATGACAATGATGGCCATCTCCTCACCTTTAGGGACTAAATGAGTCAAATACGTGGGACAGCACTCGGTACACAGCAAAAGACGAAAGATTGATGATTTCTATTGCAAAATTGTTCCTATTCCTGACGAGGAAACAGAGGGAAGTAGTGAGGATGAGGACTTTCCTGATACCACTCTGGGTTTCTCTTTCTTCGTGAAGCCTTGAGCTTTCCATCTTGTTGTGGGCAGCGCAGATCGAGGGCTGAAGAAGTGCTCGGGCGTGACGAGCATGACGTCGCTTAGTCTCCACCAGCGCCCTTTACGGGAGGGCTCGGGCTCCGTTTAACAGGGAGGAAGCCTGAGCCTCTAAAGAGGATGGTGTGGGGGGGGGCGGGGCTAGCTCAGTGGTAGAGCGGGTGCCTAGCATGCACAAGTCCTGGGTTTAATCCCCAGTACCCTCATTAAAAAACAAATAAACCTAATTACCTCCCCCACCCCCCAAAAAACTTAATATAGAATGAAAATAAAAAGGGCAGTTTGGAGGAAGGCCACACAGCTAGGTAGTGAGCAGAGTCAAAATCTGGCCTCTGGTCTTTCCCAGTACCATGTCCTTTTTAGTAGCTCCTTTCACCTCCTATGTCAGGTGTCCTGCTCGGAATTTTCACCCACAGTATCTCATTTTGTGCGGTAGGAACCCTTTGGACTAGGGTGAGCTGAAGATCTTTAGAGATCCAGTGCATTAAAAGTGATCACGGCCACTGCCAGCACCCTTTTTCCACCAAGTAGAATTCAAAATATCATTCCCACTAAACCGTAAAATAAATGGAAGTCCCAGAATGCCCTGAGTTCCCACCCTAGGATAATTCTTGCAATGCATTCCTAGAAAAAGGCAAATATCAAATTATTTAACACTCCGACATTGCTGAGGGTGGAAGGAGGGATGTTTTACTGGTATCCTAAGTGCATGCTTAATTAGACTCGATATTTAGCATTGCTTCAAGATATAGATTGTTTACTTCCACCCGGCAGAGGAGGATGCTGGGGCTGAAAAGTGGGCATGTACTTGCCTGAAATCACACAGCTGGGAAATGGCCTGCCTCTTAGTTAAACCCAGGGCTACACGAGGACTGCAATAAAATCACTAACAATAACCACAGCAGTGGGAACAGCAGTAAGAGTAACAGTACCGAGCACATTTAACAGGCCAGGCCCTGCTAAGGGGTTTACACCTAATCTTTCATTTCGGATGCCTGAGTCCATAAAACTGAGAGGTCATAGTCTCCACTCCACAAGGGGCTCAGAGAAGGCAGATAATCAGGGGGCAGACATTGAGGGAGGCTGACAGTGAATAAACTGGGGTTCATGGCAGCCCACAAGTCCTCAAAGAACAGTTTGCGGAAGGCTGAGGTGGGCAGGGACTATGGGACGTTGGAAGCCTCCCCTTGCTTCAGGTTCATCCCAAGTGCTACCGTATTTTGAAACCTTCTCTGATCAGTCTGTTTCAAAATTCAGTTCCCCCCACCCCAGCAACCCACTTGCCTGCTCCATTTTTGTCCAGAGCACCTGTTAGCATCCATCGTACTGTATATTTTATTTATCACGTTCATTTTCTGTCTCCCAGCACTAGAAAGTAAACTCCACATAGACAGGAGTTTTTACTTGTTTCGTTTGGTTTTGTTTTGCTTTTTCATGGCTAGGTCCCAGCTCCAAGAACAGTAGGAGCTTAATAAATATTGTAGAGTGAGTGAGTGAGGTGAAGCAGCAGGAAGACTGGGAGAGCAAGGAGGAAGGAGGAAGGGTGTAAAGGGATGCTCTTTTAGGACACCCTCCCGACCCCTTCTGACCGACTCCTCCCTGCCCCCAGGATCCCCGGAACAAGCACAAGTTCCGTCTGCACAGCTACAGCAGCCCCACCTTCTGCGACCACTGCGGCTCCCTCCTTTACGGGCTGGTGCACCAGGGCATGAAATGCTCCTGTGAGTCTGCGCTTTCCGCGCCTGCCAGAACTTGGCGCTTCCCGGGCCCCTGCCAAAGGGCAGGGTTGGGGTTTCGGGGAATGCTGGGGAATGGAGTCCGGCGTTGGGGCTGGGGCCTGAAGTGCCGTCCGGGTTTCGTCCCCACAGGCTGCGAGATGAACGTGCACCGGCGCTGTGTGCGCAGCGTCCCGTCTCTGTGCGGTGTGGATCACACCGAGCGCCGCGGGCGCCTGCAGCTGGAGATCCGGGCTCCGACCTCGGATGAGATTCACGTCACGGGTGAGCCCCGCCCCCTCGCCCGGCCCCGCCCCTTTAGCCAAGCGTGAGGGACCCATGGAATTCACCTGAGCGGCCTGCCTCCCAACCGGGGAAGCCCACTCCCCTCTCGCAGGTCGCGCCCACACTCCTGACCCCACCTGCAAAGGCTGAGCCCCACCCTGCCACGCCCCTTCTAGCTGGACACCAGGCCTCCAGCCTCGCCTCTGGCGACTTTCTGTCCCTGTTAATGACTAGGCACCCAGGTCCTCGAGAGGCAGGGATGAGAAAGGACCCAATTCAGAGGAGACTCAGGCTACTACTGGTGATACGGCCAGGGTCCTGGCTCCTGGGTCCTAGTGGAAAAGGGGCTTTGGGTCTGATCTCTGGGTCACTACCTGGGAAAGGGCTTCGTGCCCTGCCTCCCGAGTGCTGGAGAAGCAAGAGATCAAAGCCAGCTAGCCATGAGAAACGAGGCTGGAAGACCGGAATTCTTGATTGCTGACTAGGGGAGGGCTAGGGAGCCTCTTCCTCCATCTCTAAACCCGTCTACCCTCCTCCGCCTTCTCCCCCAGTTGGCGAGGCCCGTAACCTCATCCCAATGGACCCCAATGGTCTGTCTGATCCCTATGTGAAACTGAAGCTCATCCCAGACCCTCGGAATTTGACAAAACAAAAGACCCGGACGGTGAAAGCCACGCTAAACCCTGTGTGGAACGAGACCTTTGTCTTGTGAGCCTCGGGCGCAAGGGAGGCTGTGATGGCTGATCTGAGGGTCCTGGCGGCCTACAAGACCCCAGAGAACAGCTGGTGGGAGGTGTTTGGATAGAGGGAACCTCAAAAAGGGCAGAAAAAGATGGTGGGAGAAGAAAGTGGAGTGAATGAGGGAGAGGGATGGAGATAAAGAAGGTGAGAGACAGACAGACGTCTATGTGTTTAATCTCCATCAAATCCACTGCTTCGGAGTGACACAGATCAGAGAAAGACAGACAGACACAGACTCAGAAGAAGAGCGACAAACCCAAAGAGAATCACAGATGGAATGGGAGGGGGGAGTGATGTGTGGGTGGCAGGGGGAGAAAGAGAAGCCAACTGACAGAAAGACAGAAGGACAGATCTGGAGGGAGGAGAGGGGCCCTGAGCGTAGGAGAGATCTGGAGAGAGAGGCCAGGAGACAGGGATGGGGACAGGCCAGGGAGGGAGGGAGGGAGACTGAGAGCCAGCGGTCTAGGTTTACTTAGGGGCCAGGGAGGGAGAGAGACCCTCTTCCAGAGGACCAGGTGTAGGAAGACACTTTACGGAGCAGGAGAGGCCCCAGCTCACTGAGTTCGCCTCCTCCAGCACCAAGGATGGGGAGGTGGGGGAGCCAAGAGCTGGGCCCCTCACTGCACCCCTCCCTTCTCGCAGCAACCTGAAGCCGGGGGACGTGGAGCGCCGGCTCAGCGTGGAGGTGTGGGACTGGGACCGGACTTCGCGCAACGACTTTATGGGTGCCATGTCCTTTGGCGTCTCGGAGCTGCTCAAAGCGCCAGTGGACGGCTGGTGAGAGCCTGGGCGGAGCCTCCGCCCCCGCATCTCCGTCTGTTTGTGGTCTCTCCCCTTCTAGGCCACTATTTTTTCTCTACCTCTCTGCCCTTCTTTTTCCCCTTTTCCCCTGTCCCTCTCTCCTTATCTCACTCTTTCTCTCTCCATCTCTGTCTCTCTGTCTCTTTCCCCCCTTCTGATGTCTCTGCCTTTCCTGTGGATGCCCTCCCCCACCCCTCCCCAACCGCCTCCCCTGTTCCTCCTGCCCTGCTCTGGTCTCTGTCTGGATGTCAGGTACAAGTTACTGAACCAGGAGGAGGGCGAATATTACAATGTGCCGGTGGCTGATGCTGACAACTGCAGCCTCCTCCAGAAGTTTGAGGTACCCAGACCCTGGCTTCCCCACGGGAAGCCTAGCCCAGCCTCCCACGGTTCAATTGGCCTTTCCCAAACTACCTCTGTTTGCCCGCTGATCCTCGGCCTAAAACTCCCAGAAGAGCCCGGAGTTCCTTCTTCTGCTTTTCCAGGGGCCCCCTGCCCTAGGGTCTGATGAGAACTCAAACTCCTATCCATCCCCATGGCTTGGAGGTCTGGGGGCCCCCACCCCCTGCTCTAGGGCAATCTCCTACCTCTCTGGGGGCTCTGACTCGGGGCTCTTTCTTCTCCCCCAGGCCTGTAACTACCCCCTGGAACTGTATGAGGTGAGTAGAGCTGAGGCCTGGAGTGGAAACTGCTTAATTCCTGTGGTCTGGATCCCAGGCCCACCTCCCACCCCTCTGATGCCTGTCCTCATGTCCATGCACATGGGCGGGGCACATAGCTGGCAGCGGGTCTTGGCTTGCTGAGCAATCCTGGCTCTCCAGAGGTGAATCTGACCCTCAGGCAGCTCCCCAAGGTAGGGACACAGTGACAGATACTTAGATTCCAGGATGATGTGCTAAATTAGAGGTAGCCCAGGGAACTAAAGAAGCTAAATTAGAGGTAGCCCAGGGAACTGAAGAATCATAGAGGAGGCACTAACCCAGCCTGGGTTGGGGGTTGTGGGGGGAGGTGGTCAGGGAGGGCCTCCCTAAGGAGGTGACAGCTGAATTGTTCCTTGAGTTTTTCTGTTTACTTATCACTGTGGCTTCTCTCTCCTCCATTGGTTTTTTCACTTACTGAACACCTCTTTCCTGAGGTTTCACATAAACCATGCCCTATTCTGGGAGAAGAATCAGGCCATTCCCTGGGGAGTTCCTCTTTCAAAGCAGGAGAAAGCTACAGATAGAGAAGGAATGTATATGATAATGAAAATGGCCTTGGGCACTGGGGAGTCCTAAGAAGCACCTGGCAGGACCAGAGAGAGTCCCAGATAGCTTCCTAGAGAGGATGTGCTGGGTTCCCCAGGCAAAGAAGAGGGACACCAGATTTTCAGGTCAAAGGAAGGATTGCTTTCTCCCTCATTTATTCTTTCAAAACACATTTTCTTGAGCACTCTGTGTCCAAGGAATGGTTTGAGTCACTGGGAACATAGCCGGAAACAAGAAGAGAGAGAAAAAATAAATGCCTGCCCTCATGGGGGTTTACACTCAGAGGAAGACATTAAACAAAATAAAGGAGCGAATGAGAATGTGTGAGAAGGTGATGAGTGATAAGGAGAAAAATAAACATTAAGGAGGCTAGGGAGTGCTGCTGGGGAAAGTTTCTGTAATTTTAATGGCAGTGAGCAGAGAAGGCTTCACTGAGACAGTGACTGTTGGGCAAACTGAGAGAGTGAGCTATGAGGACAGTGGAGAGCCTTCCAGGCAGAGGGAAGATCACGTGCAATGGCCCTGAGGTGGGAGCAACGTCTTCACAGCAAGGAGGTGAGATGCTAGAGCCGAGGGAGGGGTGAGGGTGGGAAGAAGTAGGAGATGGAGTCAGAGAGGGAAGAGGTGGGGGACAGCTTGGTCATTTATTGGAAGGATTTGGGTTTTAAACCCAGTGAGATTGGAAGGGCATTGGAGGTGACCTGAGAGGATTTAAATTCGGACAAGATTTAAATTTGGACAGCCCCAGTGTAGAGAATAGGTGTAGAAAAGTGAAAGAAGACTATTGTGAAGGCCCAGAGGGGAGTTGCTGGTAGCTTGGCTCAGGAGGACAATGGTAGGAAAGGTGTTCAGATTCTGCGTATGCTCTGGAGGTTGAACAATAGGACATGCATCCAGTACCCATCTCCTGAGACCTTCATCCACTCAACACCTTCTTGCTAAAACCCCAGCCACATGCTGGGTGATGGTGAAGAAACAGAAAAGAGGGAGACAGGCTCTGGCTTTAATGGATTTTGATTTCTGGCTCTGCTCTTTACCTGCTGTGTGACTTTGGGCAAGTTACTTAATGTCTCTGTGCCAGTCTCCTCTTCTCTAAAATGGGGAGCAGTAGGGTGATAAGGATTTTCCAGAGGATTAATGGCATATAGTAAGCTATCTAAGTGCTACTTGAATAATAAATAAACCCTCCAGGCCATGGGAAATTAGAGAAAGTTCTTAAGTCAAGGAGGAGGGTGGAGACAACATTTTTTCTCCATCTTCCCATCTGTCCATTTCTCCCCATCCCTTTTGTCCTTGGATGCTGTCTCTCTTCGGGACACCTCCTTATCCCCTTCTGAGGTCTGACTACCTCCGGATCTCTCCCCTTTCTCACAGAGGGTGCGGATGGGTCCCTCTTCCTCTCCCATCCCCTCCCCATCCCCCAGCCCCACCGACTCCAAGCGCTGTTTCTTCGGGGCGAGCCCTGGACGTCTGCACATCTCCGACTTCAGCTTCCTCATGGTTCTGGGAAAAGGCAGCTTTGGGAAGGTTGGATTTCTGGGGCTCTGGGGGAAGGGGAGGATGTCTGAGGAGGGGTCAGGGTTCTGATTCTTAGAGATGAAGTGGTGGTGGAGGGACTGTAGGCTGTTGAGTCTCCAAAGAGGGTTTGATGGGGCCTCTTGTGTTGCTGGAGAGGAGATGTGTAAACATGTGGATACTTTTCCCTGAGAGAGTGGTTAGCAAAGTTGGGGCACCGGGTCTCCTGAGAGGGAGAGGGCGGACCTGGGATTCCTTTGCATTGTGTCCCTGAAATGGAGGGGCAGAGACCTGCCTCATTGGGTTTCCAAAACTGACTGGGCCTTTCTGGCCTCTGTCCCTAGGTGATGCTGGCAGAGCGCAGGGGCTCTGATGAGCTCTATGCCATCAAGATCCTGAAGAAAGACGTGATTGTCCAGGATGATGACGTGGACTGCACCCTGGTGGAGAAACGCGTGCTGGCCCTGGGGGGCCGAGGCCCCGGAGGCCGGCCTCACTTTCTCACCCAGCTTCACTCCACCTTCCAGACCCCGGTAAGAAAGGAGAGGGGAGAGGCTGGCTCAGGACCACCCCGCACTGGATGGATCAGGCATTTGCTTTGAGATTCTGAGTTTATGGCAGGGCCAAAGACCTCTGTGAACTCTGATTGGGCGTGGCCGGCTCTTCAGTGGGTGTGGCCAGAATTCAGGTGCCCTGGAGGGGCGTGGCCAGGAGACTAGGATTCCCCAAGTGGGCGTGCCCTGACCCAGCTAAGTCCTGAGTGGGTGTTTTTTGAGTAACAGCTTCTGGAGTAAAGAAGTTCGTGGAGAACACCTTCCGAGTGAGCTTGCCTACAGCTGGGCTCTGGGTAATGAGGTTGTCACTCTTGGAGTCTGAGTTTAGGACTGATCAAACACAGTATTTCCCCAAGACTGTGTCATGGGACAAGAAGTCCAGAACCATCAGAGGTTTGAGAGGGTGTGACTCTACTTCCAAGAGCTCTGAAGGGATGAGCCAGCTTCCTGGATTTTTTTTAATTAATATTAATTGCAAGTGAGGCCTGAACAACTTTGATTCCTAACAGGTGGCCAGGATTGCATATGCATGTAGGTGAATACAGAAAAAGGTTTCAGTATCCCTGGGGTTTCAAGCGAATGGTGGGCCTCAGTCTTCAATTCTGAGAAGCAGGAACCAGAACGCCTGTTCGGGGTAACAGGGGACGGGGTGGGTGAAGATTCTGAGGTGGCCGGTTCAGAATCTTCGGGGCCACCAGGTAGGCATAGACAGTTGCTCTCTGGATATCTGACTGGGTGGATGCGGAGCCTTCCACGTTTGTCTTGAAGGGGCAGGAATGGATGTTTCCTAACCCTGGTGGGCGTGTCCTCGCCTCTGAGTCCCTTTCGCTCCTCCCCAGGACCGCCTGTATTTTGTGATGGAGTATGTCACCGGGGGTGACTTGATGTACCACATTCAGCAGTTGGGCAAGTTTAAGGAGCCCCATGCAGCGTAAGTCTTGGCCAACGCGGGGGGTAGGGGGTCGGGTAGATGGAAGGCAGTGGGGTCCAGCCTCTGACCTTCTGACTCCCCACCCCCTCCTCCAGGTTCTACGCAGCAGAAATCGCCATCGGCCTCTTCTTCCTTCACAATCAGGGCATCATCTACCGGTGAGCAGTCCCTGGCCTTTCAGTGGAGAGAATCCGATCCTTACAGGGGAAGGGAATTAAACTAAAGGTTCTAGCCTGTTGAACTCTGCCCTTCCTGCAATTCCTACCCACTCCACCCTACTCACCCCCAGGGATCTGAAACTGGACAACGTGATGCTGGATGCTGAAGGACACATCAAAATCACTGACTTTGGCATGTGTAAGGAGAACGTCTTCCCCGGGACCACAACTCGCACATTCTGTGGGACCCCAGACTACATAGCCCCTGAGGTAACCCTACCTCCCCTGCTCTTGGCTTTCTCCAAGTTCACTGAGTGGGTGTGGCAGGCTGTCTAGTGTTCATAACAGGGAGGCCTGACCCTGGGGTCTTTACAAGAGTCATGGGTGTTGCAACAGTGAGCAGCACAGAGGCTTACGCGTGGAGCATTGTAAGTGGGCGGAGCTGGGTCTCTAAATAGGCAAAGTGGGCGGGACCTGTGGGTGAATGTTCTAAAGAGCAGGACCAGCTCTTAAAGATTCTAAAAGAACAGGAAGACTCTCAGTTACTGGACTGTTCTAAGAGGGTGGAGATGATTTCCAGTGTACTCTGAGTGGGTGGGGCCCAGCCTCCACGAGCACTAGGCATGTGGAGGCTGTCTCCTGAATATTTCAAGTGGGCAGAGAATGCTCTGACTTTCGGGGGGGGGGGTGGTTAATGATCTGACTGTATATGAGTAGATTGAGCACATGTCCTGACTTTTCTCACTTGAAGGAGGAGGTGAGGTTGGTGGTGTGGTCCTTGATCCTTCTTGGCAATGTCTTCTTGACCTTTCTTCTATGCCAGTGCCCTAGTATTCAGTGCCAATGGTTTCAAACCATAGCTGATGATCAGAATCACCTGGGAAGATTTAGAGACACACACACATCTTCCTGCTTCTAACTCTGGTTTATTGTGGTTAGAATTCTGCCAGGTTGGGAACATCTATTTTAAAGAGCCCCCTAGATGAATCTGGTATGTATCCAGATTTAAGACACCCTGGTATCTGAAATTCTGCCCTAAGTATTGTATTCTGCCCTAAGTATTCTGCCCTGATATTATTAGGAGACAGTCCAGTTATCTAAACATCTAGATGGGTAGGACTTATGACTGGCCCTTAGGTAGCTGGTTTTTTGTTTGTTTGTTTTTTGGAGGTACTGGGGACTGAACCTAGGACCTCATGCATGCTAAGCACACACTCTACCACTGAGCTGTTACCTTCCCCCCAGATAGTCTTTATATTTTGGACCAAAGGAATGTCCTAAGTAGGTAGAGTTTGTTTCCCAAATTCTCCAAAGGATGGAGATCTGGCCAAAGTGTTCTGAGTGGGAAGGGTTTGTACTGAAAACACTTAAAGTGGGTAGGGTTCTCAGGTGGTGAAGCCAGAGGGACTTTATGTTTTTTTAAAGCACAAATCATAATTCCTTGCCTTCCTTGCTTCCCTGCCAGATCATTGCCTACCAGCCCTATGGGAAGTCTGTCGACTGGTGGTCCTTTGGGGTTCTGCTGTATGAGATGTTGGCAGGACAGGTAAAGGAAGCTGGGGAGAGGCTGGCTTGGCTAAAGGCAGCACAAAGTGGGTGCCACCTGTTACATGGCCACTATTTCAGGAAAAGCAGGTCAGGAAGAGATGTCTATAGGCTAACGTGGTGTGCTAAGCCGTGGGGAGGCCATGCCACATAGGAGAGCGCTCTCCATGGTCCTGAAGCATTATGTCCCACAGGCTAGGGGTTCTTCAACTTTTTATGTGCCACAGACCCCCAACCAAGAATAATGTTTTTAAATGCATGAAGTAAAACAATAGCATTATAAAGTAATCCAATCATGTTGAAATCTGGTTATCAAGATGTTAAAAGTTTAATTGAGTCTCATTTAACCAACTAAGTAAATTTGACTTAAATGTGTGTGGTTGTCTAAATATATTAGAATATGGACACACACGTGGCTGCCTACTAATAAATTAAATGGTAATACTTCACAGAAATAAGAGATAAATAGGAAGGTCTACCAGTAAGTCTGAGTAGAGATGACTGATATTTTGAGATATCTGCAACTCTTGTATGATGAGAAAATACCTGATTTCCATTGGTGATGAGGTCACAACGACTACTGCTGTGGTTTGTTGCCTACATTCATACTTGAAGGGGCTGCTGAATTTCAGTTAGAGATTTCAAAAAATAAAGATGCATTTTTCTCCTGTCCAAGTTTACGAACCCCCTCATTTGTATAAACAGACCCCCTAGAACCCACATAACAAAGCCTCGCCTGGGCACTGCTTTTCCTAACCCCAGAAGACTGGAGGACACTCATCTAACTAGGAGATGGATTTTTACAGCTTTTTCTGCAGTTTTTCTCTCTTTTATTTAACTGACATATTGCCTAATTAGCACCCTGCTGATTTACATAGCAGATAAAGAGAGAGGGAGCAGCAAAGAGGTGCAGAGAGCTGAAGCATCTGAGATAGGAAATAACAGAGTCTGAGAGTGAGAGAGATACAATTTCGGTGGTTTGGTCAAATTTCCCCCTAGGAATTTAGCAGGGGTGGTCTGTGTTCATGGTGGGTGATGGCGGGAAGGTAGTTTGTCAAGTCTCTCACTCTTTGTCCTCTCTACTTCCTTAGCCCCCTTTTGATGGGGAGGACGAGGAGGAGTTGTTCCAGGCCATCATGGAACAAACTGTCACCTACCCCAAGTCGCTTTCCCGGGAAGCTGTGGCCATCTGCAAGGGGGTGAGAGCCCCCTGACTCCCAGATTCTCGGGACCCACAGCTTATACACCCCACTGCTGCCAACTGGGGCTGCCACACAGGGCCTCTATGCGCATTAGAAATCTCCCACTCCTCAAGTCCCTTTACTTCCATCTGCTGAAAAAGTTTATACAGAGATTTTGTTAGAACGATAGACAATGTCCTGCCCTGCTGCCACCTCCCATCCAAGGATGGCCTCTACCCCATCCTCCTCTGCTGTCCCCACTTCCCAGCTCACTCCAGAAAGTGCTAGATGGCCAGAGCCTTCCTCTCCAGCCCTGGGTGGGTCGGATGAACCTGACTTCTGCCATTTTTCTTCCTGCAAGCAAGTCAGCCAAACTCTGGGAGCCCCAGTCTCCTCCTCTGGGGTTGGGGAGTTAAGGGAGGAGGAAAAGGCTAGCCAATGGCAGCCTTTTGACAGGTGTCAGTTGGCACACTTCTGCTTCTAGCTCCTGTCTCCATGTCCCTCTGACTGTCTCTCTCTGGGTTTCTGTCCCATCCCTCTGCCTCCATCGGCACATGATGGGGCTTTCTGTGTGTCTATCTTTTCTGTGTCCTTTGGGATCTCTGTTCACCTTTTGCACCTTTGTCCTCCTCTCTCTGGGTCTCTCTCCTACCCTTTCTCTGAGTCCCTACCCTCAAATCGGGTCTTTATCCCTCTCCCTGGATATTTGTCTCCTGGGTCTCCGTCCCCCTCTCTTTCTCCCCCACCTCTGCCCCTGCGCCATCTCTACCTTCTCTGGGTCTCTGTCCTCCCCACTGAGTAACCCCTCTCTCTGGATCTCTATTCCCCATTTTCTCTGGGTCTTCAATCTCCCTCTCTCTCTCTCCCCTTCTCTCTCTCTTCCTCCCTCCCTCCCTCTCCTTACCTCTTTCCCTCCATTCCCCCACCTTGGATTCTTCCACCCTTCTTTCCCCTCTTCTCTTTCTGGGTTTCTCTGCCCCACACACCCTCACACCTTGATTCTGCTTCTTTCTTTGTCTGTCCCTGGGTCTCCGGGTTTGGATTTCACCTACCCCATCTCATTCATTCCCCCTCCCTCTTTCTCCCTCTCTTCTTTCCCTTCCCTCCCCCTCCCTCCGTTCCCCTTCTGTTCTTTCTGGATCTCTGTGCTTGTGTCTCTCTGTTCCTCCTTCCTTGTCTTCCTCTCTCTCTGTCGGTCTCTGGGCCTCCCTGTCTGGGGCTCTGTCTGTCCGTCCGTCTCTTTCTGTGTTTCCCACAGTTCCTAACCAAGCACCCAGCAAAGCGCCTGGGCTCAGGGCCAGATGGAGAACCCACCATCCGAGCTCATGGCTTTTTCCGCTGGATCGACTGGGACCGGCTGGAACGACTGGAGATCGCGCCTCCGTTCAGACCCCGCCCGGTCAGTCACCTTCTGGGAACAAAACCTTGGCCCCTGGGGATGGGATACCCCTGAGCTCCAATACCTGTATGTGGAGATAGGGTGGGGTTCCCTGTGAGACACCCTAAAGAGAGATGCAGAGGCCATGAAGGATGTGCAGAGGAGACAGGAGATGGATATGGGGACATAGACACTCCAGGAGCAGGCAGAACTTCATGTTTCCCTCCCCTTGTTTCCCACAGTGTGGCCGCAGCGGCGAGAACTTCGACAAGTTCTTCACGCGAGCAGCGCCAGCGTTGACACCGCCAGACCGCCTAGTTCTGGCCAGCATCGACCAAGCCGATTTCCAAGGCTTCACCTATGTCAACCCAGATTTCGTGCACCCAGATGCCCGCAGCCCCATCAGCCCAGCGCCTGTGCCAGTCATGTAATCTCACCTGCTGCCACTAGGTGTCCCCATGGCTCCCTCTGCCACGCCTGCCTTACTTCCCCACCCCTTTCCAATTCTAGATCTTGTTCCCCAGCATTCTGGCCTCTGCCTCCTGGGTTCTAGATGCCCCTCCCCAGCGTTCCTGGCATTCTAAACTCCATACAGTCTCTAGAGCCGGACCGTGTTCTAGATTCTGCCGCGTTGAGCCCTAGATTCTGACCTGCCTCAGTGTTCTGGACTCCGCTCCATCAAGTTCCAGAACCACCAACACCATCCCAACTCTACGGAGTTCTAGACTCCATCTTGCTAGAATCTATGCCTCGCCTTTCTCCTCCTCCCCTGGGAAATAGTCTCATGTGGTGGAACTATTCCAGACTCTGATTCCAGAATAATCCCCTCCTCCAAGGCCCCGCCTACCTGCACTGCATTCTGGAGTAAGTGGGAGGCTGTGCCCCCATGCTCCAGCACCCCACTTCTATGCTCTGGAGACTCCTGGGATGTATGGAGGATTCTTTCCCCAACTGTTCCCAGTCAGCTTTTGTCCTAGACTCCCCCATTCTAAACCCATCACTGCATGGCACCAGTCTTGCTCGGAACCCTACCCTCACCCCAATGCCTGCCACTCCTGGGGACTCTCCCCCTCTCTTCTTCTCTGCCTCTCCCACCTGGCCACAGCTGCTGGAGAATAAATTTGGGATGCTGATGCTGAAGTGTTTGGATGTTTTCTTCTAAGCTTGGAGAATGAAGGGGGTGTGGAGGTGGGACAATGACTGTGTATAGAAATAAACAGAGAGAGAGAAAGAGACAGAGAGATAGAGACTGGGGAGGGGACAGCAGAGAGAGAGGGGGAAAGCAGAGACCCATAAAGTGAGAGAAAATACCCATGGCATAAGAACAAAGAACAGAGACTTGGAGAAAGCAGGGACTCAGAGAGAGAGAGAGAGAGGGAGAGAGAGAGAGCGTGCATCGCAGAAAGGACCAAAGTGGACGAGTGCAGAAAGAGGCAGAGATGAACACACAGACCACTGAACGTGTTAGGTAGAGACCCCGGGCACAGAGACACAAGCACGCACATACTCACCCAGAACAATACACAAGCACACACACACACAAACACACACACACACCCAGAGGCTGGGAGGTCCTGAAAGGGAGGATGAGAGACCCCGAGATTGATCAGAGGGAGCAGCTCCGCGACAAGAACCCAAAACAACCAGAACTTATGAGCCTAAGGGCCAGCAACCGAGGCACACGGCAGGCCAGCGCGCCCTCTGCGCCTCTTTCCCTTGACCCACTTGCCAGTGGGGGAGTGGCTAGGACAGCCCGAATAGACTACACTTTCCAGCAGACACCGCGGAGGACCCTTCCCCCAGGTGCAGCCTCCGCCGCCAGGGCTGATGGGAAGTGTAGTCCCTGGACCCGGACAGGCCAGAGGAATGGTGTGCCTCTGTCTGTGTGTTTGGAGGGGACTGAGCCCCAGAGCTTTGCAGGCTCCCTCGGGGAGCCGTTGCGTCTCTTTGCTCCTGCAGGCTCTTGGGTTTCTGGGACCCAGACCAGTTGGATGCTGGCGCTCCCCCTGTCTCCCGCAGCACCGCCACAGTAGCCCCCATCCGGTGCCCGCAGCCCCCAACCCGTACTCCGACCCTCGGCGGGCGGCCTGCCCCTTTAAGAGTGGCCCCGCTGACATCACGGCGGGGTGGGGGGGTGGGGGTGCTGGCCCGGCTCCCGGCTCTGCGGCGGCTGCAGGACCCGGC